TATTACAGAATTTAGTAGGACATCATTCTTGGTGGACACGTATGCAAATGAAAGTATTAAAAGAAGGGGGCTCGGTGGCTAAGACGCTGAGCTTGTCGATCAGAAAGGTCAGCAGTTCAGCGGTTCGAATCCCCAGCGCCGCATAATGGAGTGAGTTCCCGTTACTTGTCCCAGCTTTTGCCAGCCTAGCAGTTCGAAAGCACATAAAAATGCAAGTAGAAAAATAGGGACTACCTTTGGTGGGAAGGTAACAGCGTTCCTTTGTGCGCCTTCAGCATTTAGTCATGCCGGCCACATGACCACAGAGACATCTTCAGACAGTGCTGGCTCTTCGGTTTTGTAACGGAGATGAGTCCTGGCGCCCCGTAGAGCTGGAAATGACTAGCACGTATGTGCGAGGGAAACCTTTACCTTTTTTATCCATAGAAGACAGGAATATATAAGTGACTTTTTACAGCCTTAGACCAATTTGTAGACAGGAGATCCTTCTTCCTTCATTGATAAGGGAAGAATTCAAAAGAACATAAAATCATCCACATAAGAAAAAATAAAAAAAGAAGGGACTTTTTAGTAAAACCCAACCTTATGGCATATTGTTTGCTGTTATATTCTCATAGCTGCAGGATAAAAATCTGACCACCATTACAGGTCACTGTGGCCCTGTAATCCGCTTGGAGAAAAGAGATATACCACCTGGTACAGGTAGTCCCTCGACTTACAACGGTTCATTTAGTGATTGTTCAAAATTACAACATTGTAAAAAGTGACTTATGACCATTTTCAACCCTTGCAAGTATCTCCTTGGTCACATGATCAAAGTTCAGATGCTTGACAACTAACTCACATTTATGATTGTGGCAGTATCTCCTGTGGTCATGTGATTCCTTTTGCGACCTTCTGACAAGCAAAGTCACTGAGGAAGCCAGATTCACTTAACAGCTGTGGAAGGAAAGGTCATAAAATGGAGGAAAACTCACTTGAGAAATGTCTCACTTAGGCAACAGAGTTTTCTGATTTGAAAAATGCAATAAAAAGGAGATCTATTTAATAATACATGTAATTATGAGGCAGCGAGGTTAGCCTTTGCTCAAAAGTGGAAAGATAAAGAAATTCCCGATGAAAGCGAAGTAATCAAAAAGATATGGACATGCGCTGATATGGATAAATTAACTTTAGAAATGAAAAACAGATGAGACAGAATACTATAAAGTATGGGACAAATTCTATCAGTGGTGGAGAAAAAGGATCTAGAATCAAAAGAAAGTAGGGTTGGCAGAATGGATGATTAAACATAGAAAATACTGTATAAATGTATATAAAACATGTATTCTAGGCCATTATATGTATGACAAACAGGATTATCAGGATGACCACACCATGTCCAACGTTTTTAATGATTTACTTGATAAAATTTTGAATTTTTTTTTTAAAGAAAAAGAAAAGACAGTTCTGATTCGATTCTGGTTGTAAGTCAAGGACTACCCATAGTTGGTTTTTTGAGGGGTCTACTTAGCATTAAATTATAAGTATCACTATATAAGATGTGTTTCTTTTACACTTGAGAATCACACCAGTAGAGTTATTTGCGGGAACTAATCTCGGTATCTGCCATGGGTGACAGGGCGTAAGCCTTGTATCCGGTCTGAGTAGGCCAAATATTCTGCAGTGCCTGGATATTTTTAGGGATTAGTCAAATTTTCTCCTTAAGCATATTTAAAAAATAATAAGTCGATGGCAACTCAGCATTCATAATGTCTGTTAAGAGAAGCCCTATTGAGTCAGTTTATTGCTAATGCATCTCTTATGAGGGTTGAAAGCTTTTTTTGGCCTGTTGGCTATTAATGTCTGCAGAGCACATTGTGAGCACTCAAAAAAAAAAAAAAAATGGCTGATGACAACAGTTGTCATTGCAGATCTGCTTGTTTGTGCAACATAGTGGTTGCTCGTCATTTTTTGGTGTTTTTTTTTTTTTATATAATAATTTCATCTTTAGTTGCTTGTCATTTTGGCAGACCCCAGGGATGCCCTCTGTATCTCTTTGTCCTTGTTCAGTATAAAATATTCACATACAAAATGATAGGCCTGTGTCATGCTCTTGTCGGAGTCTGAATCCGAGGAGGAAGACGAACAGCTGACAGGGAGTGGGAGTGTGGCTTGTTGGCTGTGGAGGAGGCTGGGGAAGGGCAAAGTCCGGCTGGGCAGAGCAGGGGAGAGGTAGAACAAGAGAGAGGGAGTTTAGAGGAAGACCCAGACCCACCCCTTCTTCATCCTAGGGCACACAGGGAGGAACGGAGAAGGGAGCAACGTGGATTGCATGGCTTCCAGAGGAGAAAGGGCCCTGATTCCCTTCATTAGTCACACCTGGGAGGAGAGTTAAAAGAAATGCATGCTGAGTGTGGCAGCTGCTGGGAGCAAACATGAGTTTATCTTGTGTTGACTTTAGTTATCTGTGTTCCTGGTGTCTTCCCAACCGTGTTGAGTTATTGCCATGTCTTCACGTCTGGAATTCCTTCTCCTGCCCTGGCGAACTAATTACCCATTTTGCCTTGATTGGACTTATAGTTACAGTTTTGTTGACCATGTTTTGGACTTGATTCTCTGCAGCCAAAGGCTGTTCTTGGGAGAGTTTTTCTCCAGACAGAAGGTAACCAGGAAATTGGGGACAAAGTTGGAGCTAATAAAGGGACTCCTACTGATTATCTGACTGTTTTGCCTTTGTGCCACGCCTGGGTCATCACAGCCTGCGTTTTAACAAATCTCACTGCTGAAAAGCTGAAAATACAAGGTAGTCAGCTTACAACCACAATCGACCCCAACATTTCTGTTTGCTGAGACAGTTGTTAAGCAGGTTTTGCCCCGTGTTATGACCTTTCTTGTCACAGTTGTTAAGTGAATCACTGCAGTTTTGAGTGGGTATCCCGGTTGTTAAGTGAATCTGGCTTCCCCGTTGACTTTGCTTGTCGGAAGGTCGCAAAAGGGAATTGTGTGACCTTGGGACACAGCAACGGTCATACATGTGAGTCAGTTATCAAGCATCTGAATGTAAATCACGTGGCCATGGGGATGCTGCCACAGTTGTAAGTGTGAAAAACGGCCCTAATTCCCTTTTTTCAGCACCGCTGTAAGTTTGAACGATCCCTAAATGAACTGTTGTAAGTTGAGGGCTACTTGTACTTGCGGTCTGGCAAAAGGAGAAAAGAAAGGGGGAAATTTTGTAGCTTAGAAATGTTGCCTTCTAAGAAGAGCTTTTCTCGTGCCCTTGTTGGAGTCCGATTCTGAGGAGGAGATTGAGCAGCTAACGGAGTGGGAGTGTGGCTCCGGTGGCTGTGGAAGAAATGGGGGAAGGGTACAGTCCGGCTGGGCATTCAGAGGAAGACCCAGGGCCATCCCCTCTTCATCCTAGGGCACACAGGGAGGAACAGAAGGGAGCAAGGTGGCTTACGGGAGAAAAAAGGGCCCTGATCCCTTTCATTAGTTGCAGCTAGGAGAACAGGATATAAGAAGGGCGTTTGCACACAGCACCTTGCTGGAAGCAAATCTTTGTCGAGGCTTATCTGGGTTTTGATGTCTTCCAAACTCTGTGTGCCTCATTATTTTTTGGAAGTTGCAAGTTATTATCCTGGTCTGTCATGTTAATTACTTCAGCGTGATTTGTGTTGGTTTTTTTATTTCTACCTTATCTGTACTTCGGGTTCGGACTGCACCTCAGCTGTGAGGTGCGCGCGTGTGCAGTGAGGTATGTTTGCCTGCCACTCACATGGCACAAGTGGCTCTGCATGCCACCTGCGGCTCGCGTGCCATAGGTTTGCTATCACGGGCTTAGCCCTTTAATTCATTTTATTTGGCGCTTCTTTCAAAAAGAGAACTTGTTGGAAAGGATGGTAGGCAGCAGACAGAGTTTCAAAGATGTTTCTGCTGGGAAACTTCTCCCCCCCCCCAAAGAAAAGTCCCAAAGGTGCTTTTTTTCAAAGAGGAAACTGGACTTTCTTGTTTTTCTTTGAAGACATTTCACTTCTCATCCAAGAAGCTTCTTCAGCTTTGGCTGGATGGTGGGGAATGGAATCCCGTCAGAACTGAAGAAGCTTTTTGGATGAGGAGCGAAACATCTTCAAAGAAAAACTCCACTTGCCTCTTGAAAAAAAAAGCACCTTTGGGACAACTGTGATCTGGATGACTTGAGAATCTCCATGGATATTCTCCCCCACCCCCCTAGGGAATTTTAAAAGTTTCTGAATTTTAGGCACCCCTAACCATTTCCTCTAACCATTTCCTAACCACAGGGTTATCTCAGTTCCCACACAACCTAAACATTAAAATTGTTATATGTGTTCAACTGATTTGAGAAAATGGGAGTCACGTTACATAGGCATGATAAAAAAAGTTTCTTGTTTCTTTCTCTACTGCCCTCCCTCTCTCTCTTTCCCTCCCTTTCCCTCCTTTCCTCCCCTCTCCCTCCCTCGCTTTCTCCCTTCTCTTTCCCTCCCTCTCCCTCCCTCTTCCTCTCCCCTCCCTCCCTCGCTTTCTCCCTCTTTCTCTCCTTCCCTCTCCCTTTTCTCTTTCCCTCCCTCTCTCTCCCTTTTCTTACCCCCTATCTTTCCCCCCCCTCTTCCCTCCCTCCCTTTCTCTCCTTTCCTCTCCCTCCCTCCCTCTTTCTCTC